CTGGCGAATACCGATTTCGGATGGGCAGATGAGTAGTTCAAAACTGCGCCAGCGTCGGTTGACTTCCCGTACACTGTGGTCTTTAGTCTCCCCCCAACCTTGTGTCATGCAGTCTAAGAAGGCCAGTGTACCCGAAGTTGACTCCATCTCCATACTAAATTTGATCTGTGGACTTAGTTCATTCAGATAATTGTAAAACTCACTAACCTTATCCCGTTTCATGACGACGAAGGTGTCAACTACATACCGTCAGAATATCTTGGGTGGGTAGGGGAATCCGGCTAAAGCTCTCTGTTTAAATTCTTCCATAAACATATTTGCCAAAACCAGGGATATTGGAGATCTCATTGCTAGACCTTGTTCTTGAGCATAAACCACTGAGTCAAAAACAAAGTGGATGAGGTTCAGACATGCTTTTATGCCCTCCACTATTTCATCTACCGCAAGCTGTGTTCTTTCTGAAAGCGTGGTGCCCGCTAACAGCAGTCGCTTGGCTATTTCTAAAGAATCCCCTTTTGGCACATTTGTATATAACGAATTCACATCGAAAATTACAAGGATGTTGTCTGGTTCAACAGTGACACCCGCTACTTTGTTGGCGAAATCATATGAATACTTAATGTAAGTACTAGATTTCCCGGTGAGGGGCTTTAAAATACCGGCCAAGAATCTGGCCAGTTCATGCAGTGGGGAACCTATTCCGTTTACTATCGGTCTCACCGGGACATTTGGTTTATGGATTTTTGGAAGGCCTTAAAGTCGTGGTTGGATTGCACTTTTGGGGTACAATCGATACTAGTTGCCTTGCCCTAAGTGGTTTATCAAGGACCGCAAATATCTCTCAACTTCGGCTTTACTCCTATTCATTATAGATGTGATATTCGCATTGTCGATCTCCCGATAAGGACCTTCAGCTAGATGTTGCTTAACCATCTGTAAATAATCACTCTTGTTCAAAACAACAGTGGCTTTACCCTTATCCGCCTTTGTAATCACTATGTTGTCCACCCGTTTTAGGGTGTTTCAGGCTCTTCGCTCTGCTGGCGTAATATTTGGAGCTCCTGGCTGCTGGGACTTAAGGACTGTGACTAGCTGTACCCGTAGCCTCTCTGCCTCCACTGACGGAAGTTTTTGAAACACAGATTCAACGCTAGGGTTTATCACTTCCGCCCTTATCATCCTTTTGCTTACTGCGGAATTTAAGCCCTTCTCTAGCAGAGTGCGCTCTTCCTCACTTAACGGTCTATCTGATAAATTTGCCACGCTACAATAGCTAGTAGTTGGCTCAGGCTTAGTCGTGGGCTCCCTTGAAATTTGAGTCTTAGAAAGCAACTTTTCAAACTTACGTCTTTGTCTCTCTTTGC